CATTGAGAGTGATCTTTTTCTTCTATATAGTTATATAATTTTTCTCTTCATTTGATAAAATTTTTTATCCCTTGCATTGTGATGAAGACAAAAGCTGGTATGATACTCTTCATAGCCACATCACTACAACAAGCTTGACTTATCAGCCAATTGGGCAGGAATATGCAAATGAATTGACTATGATGTTCAAGCCATCACTTGCCCAAACCTGCTTTTGGGAGCTAGGCATAGGTCAAGCCTGGCACACATCCTAGATTTGGCTCATATGAACCTTTGCAGAGTCCCAAGCATCAGGGCTCAAAATAGCACTGTAGTTTTCAAGAGCTGACCAGTCCAGGTCTGGAGGAAAGATCAGCCCACGTAAGACCAGTCATATGCTTCAAGTATAACATAGTCTATAGCGATATAAGTGCATGGTGGTAGATGCTCTGCAGAAAAACAAAAAAAAATAGAAGCCACTAATTTGAATCCAAAATGTATACTATTTTGATAAATACTCCTTTGCATCATTAGGGATAGTAAGTTGGTGATGTTCACTAAGTTGATATTCCAGTTAAAAATTCATTTATCAGACATGTGAGTAGCTGTCTTTTTGAAGGAGTTTAAGAGTCTCTTTGTTTAGGCTCAAACTATGTCATGGAGCTTTTGGAATCCATGAGTATTCTGCACTTTATCCCATATAACCAGGTAATCTTGCTTTGCATAGCTATATAGGGAAATGTTGGATTTGGAGCCAGAACACTTGTATTAGAATTCTAGTCCTGTCACTTTGCACTTTAGTGACATTTGGCAAATTATCCTAATTTTTCTGGGCCTTAGTTTCCTCATCTGTAAAAATGAGCATATAGGACTAGATTGCTTTGAACTAGAAATGTGTGATCCTATGATCCTGGTACTCTGGTCATACATTTACAGAATAAAGAAAAGTGATGGTAGATAAAAAAATCCTCACAGTGCTAATTTGAATCATCTGAATTTGTCTGCTATATTGGCTGGAACACTAACTTTGCCATTGTTTTGCTTGTTTAACATATACATCCATACTTTTAATTCCCTCTTGTTTTATATTACTTGATATGAATAATTAATTCAAACAAATATTGATTAAGCACATGGTAAATTTAAAAAATAATCCTTGAAAAATATTCATCTCAGCCCATAGGAGTTAAAATTTTTCAATTTTTCCTTAAATAACTCAGTAAATAACATTATTTAGATAAGAACAAGCCAATAAGAAATATAAACATATAATGGCTTATAAGATTTAGCTTTTAAAATAGTAATTCCCTGTACTGATGTTAGGAAAATCTTTTCCTGTTAAAGTAACTATTTATTTTCTCTCCACAGCATTAAAGAGTCCAGCGGCATTCCATGAGCAGATAAAAAGCTTAGAAAGAGCCAGAGTAAGAAATTTGATTCAAAATATTCCACTTCTGGGTATTCCAAAGTTATCTGCAGACAGGAAGTGGACATATTGCTAGAATCTGAGATTTTAAACAACTCATTCAACATAAAATAATAATGTCATATGACAGTTATACTTTAAAGGTTTGTGAAAAAATTAATGACAGCCAACTTTTTTTTTTAAACTAGTAATGTCAGTACAGAATTGGCCTATTTCTTCTTCCTGGTCTGCAGGACATAACAGTACATTTTTTGGAGACGTGTTCGGGGGTGGGGAGGGAATCTTCCATCTTCCTTCCTGTACAAATGATGCATTCTCACACCCACTCACAAACCCACAAAGGACTTTTCTCACAGAAGTTACATTACCTGTATCTCTGAACCAAAAGTGGTAGAATCAGACTGAATGAAAGACAATATTAGGCTTCTTCACATTTGTGTTTAGTATTCAAATTTCAAATCTATCTCCTTTGTAACATAATAGTTAATAAATATGATGGTTCATAATTTTTGTTTTAGAAAAATAATTTGCGTATATCTATGTCCCATCCCTATGGACCTCTTGGGAAATTACTTCCATATCATTTACATAAATATTCAGGGAAGTCTAAAAAAATATTTTGACTCTTGAGAACTTTTTCAAGATTTCTCGAGTTTACCATTATGTTCTAACTGAAGGGCAAAAAAAAATCTTAAACCTGTATATTCTTTGCCTTAAGTTAAGGAAAATAATGCCATAGTTATAAAATAAATATGAAACAAAACCATATTGAACACGTTAGAAAATTTCTCATTACACAGGTTTCTTAACCCTTCTTGTAGAATATATTTTGTTGACTTATTACCCCAAAACATATTCTTTTAGTGTTAAAGTACATTTTCTGAGGATACAAGATTAAATTTTAACACTTGGTATTAACATTTATTACTGTAGCTATTCATCTGTCGCTTCTTCCATTCATAATACCAATACCTAATATGACAGTATTTAAAGTTATGAATATGATGCTTCCTACTTTCTGTTTTTCCTCTCATATGCATGAATATAATGGAGGACTTGGGTTAATATAAATATGCAAAAAAGGCTCAAAATCTAGTTCATAATAGAATGGAACTAGATCTTTTTTTTTTCTTTTTAAAGACTGAAAATTTTCTGAAGCACAAGATACGTAGTCGACCAGATCGTTCTGAACTTGTCAGAATGCACATTTTGGAAGGTAAGGGCCATCTGGTAACTTAATTTGTTAAAAAAAAAAAAGAGAGAGATAATTACGCCATTAATTTTCATTTTAACAACTCTGAGAGCTACAAAAATTGGATGGAAGCAAAAGACTCAGTAATTTCTATTGTTAGTATTAAAAAAAAATCAACTAATCCTACCACTGGTACTGTAGGTGTCTCTATTGCACTGTTCAGAGTACTTGAAAAGCCTTTTTGAATGGTAGGCAGCCCTATTATGTGGTTATCTTTTTTCATAAACTCTGTTGAAGACTTCCAGAATCATTCATGACTATAGATGAAGTAACTATAAAGAGGGAGAAGAAAGCATTCCTCCCAACACACCCAGTTATCCTAAGCTTTGCTGTTTATTCTCACATGGGACCTTTAGGCCATGAAACTAGTCATAAAATAAGCTGGCATCATCAACATTTTTTAGAATAAGATCTGTTTTTCACTTTCCATAAGTGAAATGTTCATAAGTCTTGGGAAGAGGACCATGTAAGCAGCTTCAGAGTCTTGAAACTTGACTGGCATATCATAATCAACTAGCTGGGGACCTGTACAACAAATGTCACAGACTCCTGTGAAAGCCCTTAGCTTGAGCTGCTGACAAGAATTACCTCCTCTTTTTCTGTTCTTTTCTGCCCTTCTTGGGGCATTAACCATTAACAGCTTGAGGAGGGCTTTCATTCTTAAATTGAGATTTTTTTTTTTGCTATGGAGAAAGAACTTTCCATCCATAATTTTTTAAAATAGTTTAGCAGAAGAAAACAAGCCCTGTATTTTAAAAGTAAGCTATTTTTAGTTAAACTTTCAGCAAGCAAGATTATGCATTGTTTTTTGAATTTGAATTACTGAAATCCAATGTCCCCAGAGGAAAAATCAATATATTTATAATAAAGAAACTTAGTACTCTTAAGTGAAGATATATTCTATTTTAGGAGTTTAAAATCTCTAAGGAATCATAGAGTATTTGTCTTGCAGCGTAATTAAAGGAAAAGTCAACATTTTTCTTTGACATTATTAGCTTCTATTTGAAAACTACATAGTTCAGTTTCCTTGAAGAAATATTTCTAATACCTAGGCAGGGGAAGGGAATATTAGGAAGACACTGATTAAAATGGAGGGCTGGCTGCTATTGTTCTCCCACCTCCCATCCTAATAATAATAAGCTCATGGAAAGAGCATTTGAAGTCACCTTGGGGTGGTGTGGCACATTTCAGTTTTCCTGCCCTTGCTATGTATTTCTTGAAAAGACCAACAACTTTCAACTTTGAATTTTTGGTAAGCACATATTATAATGAGTTCTACATTTATTTATGCCAATAAGACAAAACTTTGAGAGGAAGTACAAATAAGCAATAGGAAATTGAAAGAACAAAAGTTAAGCAACAAATGTATTAATGCTTTTACATTTTCAAGTGGGAAAATTAATATTATTGTAAATGATTTTCTAAAACACAAGTGTAACCCTGATTGTACCATAGTTGTTCTGTAGTACAAATATATAACAAACACAAGACATTCTTGTTGCTCTAAGTTCAGAAAGACATCTGAAACATTCATTTGAGATGTGTGATTCAGGAACAGTCAGAAATAAACATGGATTAAATTTCATCTCCTTTCTTTCTGTCCAGCTCTTTATATATGCTTATAATCAAAAGGACCACAGAAAGGAAGAATAAAAACCCCAGATAAATGTTATATTATCCTTCCCTGAGTGATTGAGGATTGACTCATAATTATAAGATGGTAGCTATCCCCATATCATTCACATTCATCATGAATATTGCAGTCCACTTGAGTGGACTTGAGTATTGTAATTTTCAAGTAAATCAAAAACGCAGTGCCTGCCATATCAAAATTTACATTCCAAAGGAGAACAAACCAAAAAAAACAGCAGCTTCTTTTCATGGCATTAGAATAAACTGAGGATCCACTTCTCTTAAACGATGATTGTGTATTGATTTACCCATATGGAATAGCCTAGAAAATTAAGAAAACTATATACCTACTCTTCCTTAAAGCAACCAGGAATATGAATTTTGACTTACCATGATAAACGATTAGCAGGTAACTTTATATTATGCTTTTTAAAAATTCAAGTTCTTGTTAATTTGAGGCTCTAGAGACAATTACATATAAAATATATTCTAACATGTAAAACTGTTTATTGTTATCAATGACCAAACAGCCATGTCATCCCCGTAAATATATTGACAATGTATGCAAATCAGATTTAAGTTAAATATGATGGTCAGAAGAAATATCACAAGATAGTAATAGTTTATTAAATAACGATCAAAATTATCTTTCCTCTCTTAGAAACATTTGCAGAGCCATCCCTGCAGGCTACACAGATGAAACTGAAGAGAGCTCGACTGGCAGATGATCTGAATGAGAAGATTGCTCAAAGACCTGGTCCAATGGAACTAGTGGAAAAGAACATCCTTCCTGTAGATTCCTGTGTTAAGGAAGCAATTATAGGCAAGGCTGAAAATCCTTACTACTCTAGAGAAAAGAGCTTTTGAAGAAAAACTTAAATCCAAAGCTAATAAGATTTCATTGGCTGTCTTTCCACTAATATTTCTAGTTACTACTTTTTCCTCCACATTATCACAAAAATAACCTTTATTTTATCATTGGTACAAACTTGGTTCCTTTCATATTACACAAGAAGTGCAAGCAGCCATCTGTTAATAATAATAATAAGAACATTTGTACAGCACCTATTATGTGCCAGGTACTGTGCTAAGTGCTTTTTACAAATATTACCTCATTTGATTCTTGCAACAACATCATCCCATTTACATATAAGGAAACTGAGGCAAATAGAGGTTAAGTGACTTGCCTAGGTCACAGATCTAGTAAATGTCTGAAGCTGACTTTGAATTCAGGTCTTCCAGACCCAGGACTCTCATGCTCTATTACTGTCCACAGTAAATACTTTTCACACTAAATTTATTCTATCTTCATTGAGTTTTCATTTTTTATATGTTTTTACAAACTACTCACTTTTTAAAAAGATGAAAGCTTTTTTGGTATCGTACGTGTCGAAATTTGAACAGCAGATGGCTCTCTATTAAAGGAAAAAACAGCCCCAAAAATTGCATTACTAGAGTGCAAAGACTCATCATTTGTTTTTCTTATGGAGAATTTTTTAATGAATGTGAGGAAAATAATTTATTAAGAATTTATTACTGTTTATTTAGCTGTTTAGCATAAGCTTCATTTATAAAATGCTACATTTCCAAAAATCAAGGAGCACATATTACTATTTTTGCATATACATTTAAAATTATCCTATTGCCAAATCTTACTTTAAACATAAATTAAAACAACACTGTAAGTTCTAATAACTAATACCAAAAGAGGTTATTATGATTTCATAGACTAGTCAGTAGGAGGATATGAATGACCCAAACCTAAAGTAAGCACATCTATTTTTTTAAATGATATTTTTAAACTATCTTAGGAAGTAAAAGTTCCACCTTTCACCTTTTTCATCAGATAACTTAGCTTTTGGTACCTGAGAACACTAAAGTCATTTCTTTCTGTAGGGGTTGGACAAGAGGACTATCCCCATACTCAGGGTGATTTTTCATTTGATGAAGACAGCAGTGATGCTTTGTCTCCGGACCAACCAGCCAGCCAGGAGTCTCAGGGTTCAGCAGCATCCCCAAGTGAGCCAAAAATCAGTGAATCACCATCTCCTGCCACCACAAATACTCCAACTCAGGTATGATTTCTGAAGTCAAAGCCACCAGAACATCTGCTAGGGAGTCTTCCCATTCAATCAGTCAATAATTGTTCCTCAGATACAACCTAAGAGAGATGCAGAGAATAAGAATATGACCAGGGACCCTTTAAATAAGAAGCTGAAGGAAAAAAAGACCAACTCTTGTACTCTTCATTTCATTTAAGAATAGAAACTCCTCTCCAGCTTTGATTCAGTGAGAGAGATATGACAGTAGCTGGGATCCAAGCATCTTTAATAAAGATTTGCTTTACAGCATGACCAACTTTGTTTATGACCTTCCTCTTGCACTGGAAGCAGGAGAAGGAGGAAGCCAAGGAAAAGACTAGTGTTTCTGAGAATCAGATGAACCCAAAGGGAGTATAGGGCAGTCTTACCATGTTTATTGTCCCTCATTTTGAAGTATAAAAGCAGATCTAAAAAGAATATCAGGTGTACAAGTAAATAAAGTTTAAAACTTATTAACAATTGTGTTATTTATCCCTTTGGGTATTTCATCTTTTTATCTTGCCACTTGAATTGGGTTATCAAATAGGAGTGAATGTGGTCTGGCTATTATTTTTTAGTAAGAAAATTGATTCTTCATCAACTCAGCCATTTAGAAAATGACCTCATAACAGTTCGCACTTCAGAAGGAGATTGATATTCTGTTCTTCCCTGTATTTTCATTAGTTATATCTTCCATTTTCTAGTATTAAGATGAAACTTTATCTCAGACTAATTTTACATGAAGAACTTTGTCCAAAGTCCATCCTACCCAGTGGGTTGACATTCCAGTGGTACTTGAAATAAAATATTACTATGTATGTTTTTTCAAGAAAAATAAATATGTTATATCCTTTGCCACAATAGTGCACATAAGGTCCCATGTCCTTTCTAAATTTAAGCAGCAATTTTGGCAACAGGTTGTACTGTTACTTCACTACTAAATTCTTTTAGGTAGCATGATATCCATGTTCTTTCTCTCTACTACATGAATACTAGGGCGTCTCTGTTTCATTCAAAACACATGAATTAGGTGTCTGGAAAAATATATAGTAACATCAGTAAACCTTGTTACAGATATTCAGTCAAAAAAAATAACATGGATATATTCACATTGTCTACATTGATGTTTAATTATTAGATAACTTCTATACTCTTAACACCTACTTAAATGACGAATCTTTGTTGTAGGGTTTTTGAACTCAGTTCTGGTATATATGGTTTCTTTGATGAATTGTTTGCATTGCAAACAATTGATGTGCAAAATCTGTAATTTTTTTTGAAAGAAAAGTACTTTAAGTAGTAGGATGAGGAAAAGGAAAAATATCCATATTTGAGATCTATTTTATTTTGAACCAACTTTGATAGAGAAAGACTTTGTCAATAAGATCTTTGAGATTTTTATGTATTTTTATTTTTATGTGTTCTGAAAGTAGTAAGTCCTGAGCCTTGTTTTATATTTCTTCTTATTTTCATATTACTCTTATTTAACATTATCCAAAATATTTTTGCTCATGTCATCCAAATATTTTATTGTAAATAAGAATGTCTACCTATGTTTATTATAGATTATATTTTACTACATTGAGATATGGGGGTTTCAGATTGTTTCCTTAAGTGCCATATATGCAATAGGTACCTTTCCTCAGTTACATATTAATATGGGGGGGGGGCTAGACAGTGGAGTTAAGTGACTTGCCCAGGGTCACACAGCTAGTAAGTGTTATGTGTCTGAGACCAGATTTGAACTCAGGTCCTCCTGATTCCCAGGGCTGGTGCTCTATCCACTGTACCACCTAGCTGCCCCCTACATGTTAATATTTTGAAAAGAAATCTGACATTGAAAAGTATCACATGACAAAGATCTTTTTAATCACTATTTATTTAAACTCCAGAAAAAAAGAGGGCAGAAATTATAAAAGGGCACTACATTTGTCTGAATATAGGCTTCCATCATATTCTCTCTCTCTCTCTCTCACACACACACACACACACACACACACACACACACCCATACCCATAAAATGAAATGTCTGAAAACGGTGGGAAAGTATAGGTGTGAAAAGTAATACTGATTGTATACTGCATTAGGGTTTGATATAAAGCTACATTGGAGAGGTGGTGGTAGTTAAAAGTTTCTTATCTTTAGTCCAGTATGGCATTTTGTGTATGTTGACATTCTTCAGTTTCTACCATTACATAAGTAGAAATTGGTTCATCATATTTATATATATTTACATAATGAATTTCTTCATTTTAGCTTGTTATTAAAAGCTTGTCACATTTCTTAATTGCCTAAGCATCCTAGGCCATATTTGCTCCAGTCTAAAATAATTACCACTTCAAGTTATATAGATCTGTGATTTAGGCACAACATTTTTCTAATTCCCATTGTCTCTTAGACTTCGTTTTGCCTATTAAGTAGTAGTCAAGCTGTGTTAAAGAATTCCTTTTAAGTCAATAAAAGTTTCAGAAACATTTTGCTGGAGGGAGAAGTGGCAATAATTCAAGAAGATGTCTTCTTATGTCTTTTTTAGAATACATAGATACCATAGTAATAGGCCTTCTAGGGCAAAAGAAAGAAGGAAACCATTAAAACACCTAACATTGGCAGTGTCTAAGAAAACCTTCCTGTCACTGCTACTTCCTGTCCATAAGACAGACCCCAAGGCTAATGATTTGACAATGAGGACAGCACTGTAGCACATACACCTTTTCTTTAAAATGTAAACTAAGAAAGTAAAAATGTTTTTCTAAATGGGTTTGTCATATGGTCTAGAAGATAAAGCTGCCTATCTTTCAGTATTTCTCTTTTACATTCTAATCAAAGTGCAGCTGGAAAACAGATTGTCCAAGCCTCAATGAAGAACACACATCGCATGTGTCAGGGCTTCATTTATTTGATTTTTGAGCTAGAAACACAAAAATCTGTGTGATTGTGAGCAGCTCTCCACAACATGGAAGCCCTAACTCTTACTGGGTCTGCCTCCACCAGGATATTGGCAACTGTTTCTTAAATTTACATTCCCTTGATGTTGACCATTGAAAAAAACTCTGTGTGTGTGTGTGTGTATGTGTACGTACATATATACTTAGATATTTAACTCTTTCATAGAATCTGAATTGGGAGGGACCTCATTGGTCATCTAGAGCATAACCAAAAAATGGTCATCCTAAAATGTGACATGAAGAGTTATAATGAGAGGAAGCCAGAGTCAGATCAGTCCTCTCAACTTTTGGACAGCTCCAAGTTGTTCCTTACACCAGCCTGTTACCTCTTTGATAGTTCTATCCATTGCTCTTAGTTCTGTTTTCTGTGGCTAAGCAGACCAAATCTAATGCCTTTTCCAGGTGACATTATTTACAATACTTGAAGACAAACTCTCATGTCCTGTCTAAATTTTCTTCTTCCCAAACCAAATAGCTGATTAACTTCCAAAGCATGGAAAGTATCCTGTTGTCACTAGTGACAATATTTCCTATGAGGTCTTTTAATCAAGTATTACAAATCTGTTGGTGATAAGTCCCAATATTTATAATATTCTCTCACAGTATGAACTATACTAATTTCAAACAGATTATCTGTGAAGGACCTACTTGGTAAGTGGCCTACTGCCATGTACTACAGAGTTCCTCATAGTTTAAAGAGTATTTCTTTTAGATTATATGAGTGCCAGCTGGGAAAACTTTTTGTAAAGTGAATTTGTTTAAATAGAATAGACATTTGCTATGGTATCCCCAAAGTTTGTCCTGAATATCAATATGTATTTTATGTTATAGCCCAGCTATCCAGTTTTAGTATGTCCTAGAAACAAAAATGGTTTTATTCATTTTTGTGCTTCTTATCTTTAAATGTCTGTTATTATTTTTCCTGCAATTCCACTTGAATTTCTCTTTTTTTTTTGTTTTGTTTTCCTTTGATCTTTTCCTGGTAGTACTTATTTCTTTTAGAAAAGTTTCTAAATTAATATATCCTATATTACTATTCTGAGATTTTATTTATATATTTATTTGTTTATTTAACATTGTTATATTGTTGTGTGGAAATTTTGGGTAGAATAGTTTAATGCATTTTTTAAAGTAAAATTTCTTATTGATGTACCTAAGATCTCATTTGTCCATTGAAATTTCCAAATGAAACCTATGGTATTATCAATAGGAAGAATTTCCAAAGGTAACTGGTAAAAGAAAATGCATTTTATAAGCATTGAGAAATGTTAACACTCATTGGCAATCAATCAAGTATTAATTTTCTGTTCTGTACCACTTTCTGTGGAGTTTTTCATATGTTTTAGGATATTAGTGTATCAGATAATTTCGTTGTGCTTTCACTAAGTGAAAAGTTTAACACTGGAACCATAAATGACAAATCAGTGCTGTCTAAATACATTTCATAGTAGTGATAATTTATAGGAAAAAAATCTCCATATTTTATGCAAATGTGTTTATTTAGCACACACATAAAAAAATATTTAGTTGATATTGGCCTACGTACTTGCTTTCATTTATATTATTTCTCTGGAAATTGGTAACAAAAGCAACAAAGATTAAAACTTCATTTTATTAAATATCTTGAGAGTGGATATTTTTCCTTTCAGGTTCAGATTCTCAAGATATCATAACTAGAAAGGCACATTTGCTGGAGGACAGTTATTGCTCCTTGGAAAATGTGGCACATGTTCTTCCAGTAGAAACATGTGCAAACACATGAAACATAAAGGCAGTCTTACAAAATGTTAATTAATCCAGACATTTTCTCTGGCTTTCACTTCTCTTCTTGCAGTTGTTTTCAAGACTAAATAAAAAGATCTTTGTCATATCTGTCTAGAGCATTCTAATAGTGATTTCTAAAGGAAAATTCAGTCTTTTTTAAG